CATCCTGATCATTGGTGTTTCATCATATGTCCATGTAATGGGACACAAAAAACGGGACACTGGAACACACTGATTAAGATGTCCAAGTATTGGGCCATTGTAAGGTTACGGATTATTAATATTTAAAAAAATTATTACACGTAAGAATATTTTTTCTTGTTTAAAAAAGTACTAAAATAAGCACGATTTTTCATAAAATTGCTAAATCACTCAATAGAATTCGAATTTATAACTGAAAAATACTCTAACATATTTTCCGTTCTTAACTGTCCAAGTATTGGTACGTTTACCTTAGTAAGTAACAAGTGGTCTAGCAGACTGAGTGCAAGGGCTGCAAATATGGAAATCTNGAGTTCATCAAATCTTCACCACTATCTTAGGATTTTTTTCGTTCCGGTATCTTTCATCAAGTTAACCAGTGAATCGACAAACTGAATCTACAAAAACTAACTTAAGAGAAATTNCGACTTAATTTTCCTTCTATAAAGCCTTCTATAAATATGTTTCTTTTTCCATATCACCGTGATATTACTCTGTGATGCATTTCGCCAGTAATTTTACTATTACTGTATTGTAGTAATATTACGTGCTATGATACTATTGTGTTTTAAGTGTCGTCTTTTATTTTGTTTTTAAATTTCTAATAAAACATCTTTAACATNTTATTTTGGTGAATCTTTTTGCTTCTATTCACGTCTATTCGACGTAATATAATACCGTCACTAAGATGTGACACAATCACGTGGTATGTACGTTAAAAGCCGTAATTTTTGTGTTATAAATGACGTTTTGCAGACCAAAAACTGACGTTATTATCACGTGAGCTTGCTAACTGGGCACGGTTACAAGAAATACGCGTGGTCCTTTTCTCGTCAAACTACCTTATATCAAAATCATTTTCTTTAGTTTCTCTTTCTGTTTTCTTTTTTTCTTTTTATAAAAATTACTATACTATATCACGCGGCAGTCGTAGTTATGTTTTTCGGAGGCAAATGATGATGATTGAGGCGTGAGTTGCCAGCTGTTGANGAAAGCGCGCCGTGACACCTGAAATGAATTTTCAAACGAAAGGTAGACTAACCATTTTTCTATGGCGAGATTTATTGGTCGACTTTTTTATAGTGCTTCTTGTCACTNCTTTCTCACTTCTCTCGCTTTGGTGCTTTTGCTTTGTACACGAGAATTCTGTGCCGCGTATCTAAGATAAATGTCGCACTCTGTTATGTTTCTCTGAATTTTGCTGCATGAGTTTCCATCCGCGATCAGACTATTGGTTACTTTGGTTACGCCGAATTCACTTTTTTATGAACAATGAGCGACAGCTAAAACTTTTAGAAACGTACTTATGAAGGTCATATTTACAATATATGTGAACGAGAAGCCGATCGGTGGGGGCTTCTTCTGTATATTTACCAAAGAAAGTATTACAAAACCACAAATAAAGAACAATAAACAATGGAAAAGTAATTATAAAAGGAAACTAAAAATTACGAATGAAATAGAAACACATCTCATTTAAGTGAAAATACATACTTAACATTTAAAAAAGAAACCGAAGTATACACAACCAGATTATAAATATTAAAGATTCACGTGATTCGTCTGTGACTGTCACGCAAGATAACAGCGACACATGGTCTCTAGGTGATCAGCAAAGACGATTCCGAAACCGTATTTTGAAAGTTTCCAGCCAGTTGGATGTAGCAATTCAAAGTGAACGGTTGTGGTACCTGAAAATATAACAAGTTTGAATTCTTCTCATCGTGAGTTTTTCCAACAAGAAGTACACGCAAACCAACAAATTGTGGACAATACATTCTTGACTTCAAAGACTTCGCAACATACAGTTTTTTTCTTTTTTCAATAGAAAACGACTTGTACGACTTTGTGTTTATGGTANTAATCGAAGTATTGCTCGTCATTGTTTACGTGCGTGTCGTCGATTGCAGGTCAGTTACGTGTAGTGATTTACATTCACCTTTCTTTAACGCAAAAGTTAGAGTAAAATAAAAAAAGACCCAAAAGTAAGTGGTTTCTTTTANTACAAGCGCATATACTGTTTTGTATTTATATACTACTTTATTTTAGACAATAGTAGTTTTTCTTGTTTTTATTCCGTAAAGATTTAAAATGACAAGAGTTCCTTTGGAAAAATAAAAATAAGAAGAGTAATCATAAGACAATATAAAAATCGGAAAGATCGAGAAAAAGCAACGCCTATATATATCGTACCAACGTGACAAATAGCAACAAAAAATTGATTCTGGAGAACGACGACGAGACTGCAATAGAAAAACAGTACAGTATACTAATAAGAAAGGAAACGAGTATTACATGAGTGATTTACTATGATGTAAAAAGGTAACAAAATTTCTAAGAAGCTTTTACTAGCAATTTTATGCATATTACATAAGTGCATTCGTACCGAANCTCGTGTAGATCGAATTTTTTCATTATAGTAGTTCTAAGAAGTTTGTTTTTTTACATTAAAAGAACCTTTCAAGTGTTGCACTTAATCTTAACGTTTGACAATGAAATGACGTTACTGATTTAAATAACTACACGAGTTATATTTATCATCTTTTCTATGTCACAACTGTAATATTTCTGCGATCTAACAGTTGCGGAAGTATTCATTTAAACAAAAATACTGGGTAAGAAGAACGTTATTACGCGTGAAAACTATGGAGCGTGATTCCCGACATTTTCGACACCTATTACTGTTCTTTTTTGATCAAGCCAAACGAGGCAGTGACGCTTATCATCTTATTAGAAAAACTTATCNTGAGTCTGCACCAGCGATTGACACATGCCGCAGGTGGTTTCGCCGATTCGAAGGTGGCGATTTTGACTTACAACTTTTTAATTTAACTGGGAAAAGAAAGGTTAAAAATGAAGACTTGAAAAAACTCTTAAATAAAAATCCAAATATAACACAAAAAGAAATGGCTAGACAATTAAATGTTTCACAAAAGACTATTTCGATAAAGTTAAAAACCATGAGATTAAATCAAAGAATCCAATTTGACGTCGCTAGTCAAACTAGTAGTCTTTTAAATTTAAGTCGGAAAAGAAAGGTTAAAGATGAAGACTTTCAGAAACTCTTAACTAAAAATTTAAATATAACACGCGCAGAAATGGCTAGACAATTAAATGTTTCAAGCTCGACTATTTATAGATATTTGAAAGTCAAGACACAATTCCAAAACCAAAGAAACCA